TGAATATGCTGAAAAATCAACACATAGCTGATGAACACATTAAACAATCAATATCAGTGAAAATCAAAAAAGCTCGCAGAAGATGTGTCTCACTGTAATGAAACACTGAAGCTCACATAAGACACCCAAATTCTTCACAGGGAAGCTGCTGCAGCACTTCTTCCTAACAGGAAGCTTTTAAACCAGAGCTGCTTTTCACAGCTACTGTCTTCTCAAGAGACCAGGATTAGAATTCACAGCCATAATACATGGGAGAATTAACATGCTATCTAGAAGTTTTCTACTTTTCGAATCTTATTTTCTTACTTTCTATGGAAGCCAACAGGAATTCCGCTATCATAATCCTGATTTCACCCAGCACAGAGATGTTCAAATGACTTTCAGCTTGTAACTGGTAGATGGATTCACAAATATTTTGAAAATAGGAAGTGACAGGGATAATTATGTTAGTATCTCCATTTTCTTAATCAGCTATATCCTCAGTGCTTAAACAATGCCTAACACACGATGTGTGCACAAAAATAGCTGTTGAATAACTGAGCTGAAGGAAAAGAAGGAAGAGGGATTTAGGATGACTACCAAGCTCATGAGACATGCAGAGCTGAGTGATGCTGTCATGAAATCGAGACAGGAAAAACAAGAAGAGTGTAAATGGGAAGAAAGAAGTTGCATTCAGGCACACTGATTTCTGTGGGAATTCTAAGTGGCAGTAGTATCCACAGGGCAGCTAAATATATATGCATGAAGCATAAGTGAAAGGTATGGAATTAAAGAGATAAGTAAAAGATGTCACCATACAGATGGTACTTAAAACTGTAAGTCTGGATGAACTTTGTTTGGGAGATTATGTGGTATGAGAAGAGGGTCCAGAAAGTAAAAGCTTTGGAAAAATCAGCACACGGGTGTATGCAACGAGAATGAGGAAGAAAGAGAGGTTCTAGAAGGAAACTGAGAAGGAACAGTCTGAGAAGCTGGATAAAAGCCAGAATTACAGCTCTGAAATCCAGACAGGACAATTTTAGGAAGAACACAGTCAACACTGTCAAATCCTACAGAGAGACTGAAGAGACAGCAGAAGGATCTGGCTGTTAGAAGGTCAAGTGTGATGTCGGTAAACACGGACTGGACGAAAGGTTCTCTAAGGGCACCGCAATGCACTCTAAGAAGCTTAGCTGTGAAGGAAGGGCACGGGGATTAAATAAACAGCACGGAAGCAAGAGAAGATCTGTTGAGCCTTATGTATTTCTGTGTACAGAAACACCATCACATGATCGTGTCCAGCTCTACCTGCTGATTCTCAGTGCTCTGATATATTAACTAACTGGGGTTTGCAAAATGGCCAATCTTTTCATTATTTTCTGGATTTTCTAAAAAACACTTCTCCTCGCCCACAGTGATAGAGTTCATATAAGAGCGGCAAGATACATGACTGATTTTTCCCTCCTTTTTGCCTAATTTTGAGATAACAGTGTTTCTCTGATGATAATGAATTAATTTAAAAATTTATATTAAAAAATTTATCATTACTTATGGATTTAAACATATTTTCTGAGTTTCAAATCTTTGCAGTTAACACCTTATTGAAGCTCAAATTATCTATCTTTGGCCAGTTGGGGAAGGGTTCCAAGTTGCCTCCTACGGCCTTCTGACAAGACCTGAAATCTGCAATGACAAGATGTTCTGAGTTCATCTTACAGATTTCCTGCCCCAGACTTAGCATCATCCATTTTTCCCAAGAAGCTCTGGTTTTCCTTCAGGAGAAAATACTTCAGGATTATAATCTGGGTACTAGGAATGATTACTGCCACTGTATGACTCACTCTTTCAGATCTTTTCAGTGAATAAACAAAAAATTTTTATGTATTTGTATGTATTTTAATTTTATCTGGCAATAATTTCAAACTCACAAAAAGTTAGAAAAACAAACACTAAACACTAAATATCCTTTACCCAGATCTGTCTACTGTTAATGTTTTACTCTCTTGCTTTACAATTTACTTTCTCTTTCTACACACACATGTGCAGACACATTTTTTCCCTGAACTATATGAGGGTATTACAGACACCATGGCTCACTAACCCGACACACTTCAGGGATACGTAGGGAGTTAAGTACTTCCTGAGACCTAAGGATGTTCTCTTGTCCCCACAGTACAGTCGTCAACTTCATAAATGTAAGCTGGTACAATGCCAATCTACTACCGTACTCCTTGCTAAATGGTCTAATAACGTCCCTTACAGCCATGCTCCCTCCCCAGGACAGGGGCCCAGACAGGAGCAGGCATTGCCCTGTTTTCTCTTTGGACAGCGTGGGACATTACTATTGCCTGTACTGGTTTTCATAACACTGACACTTCTTAATCTTCAATGACGTTGGCTTTTAAAAAGAAACAGAACATTCCTCATGGTTATGCATCCTCAGCCAGAATGCTACAAGGGATGTTTATCCTTCTCAAGGCAGCACATCTAAAGTCACAGGACATGCGTTTGTCCCTCCCTGGATGATATTAGTTACGATCACTCAGTTCAGGTGCTGCTGGATTTCTGTACTACAGAATCATTGTTTTTTTCCCCTCTCCTCTTTTGCAATATGAAAAGCCCACGTAAATACTTGATCTTACCAAAAAACTCCCCCTAGATCTATCAGTCATTAGTGATTCCTGCCTAATCATCTTTACCGTGGAGGGTGTAAGTCATCAGGTAGGGGTGGGAATGGACTAGGAAGGTGTATAAGGAACTTTCTGGAGTAACGGAGATATTCTATATCTTGATAAGGCTGGATTACACAGGTCTATGCATTTCTCAAAACTCACTGAAAGTATTATTAAATAATTACTAGTTTCACAAATACAAATATTACCTAAAAAACTATATACAAATTTGAACTCCAGTCATAATGAAATGCAAGCTGACCTGACTTATTTAAAGGTGTGTGCAACTTATTCTGAAACATCAAAAAATAAGATGGACGACTGATGGGTAGGTGGTAGATAAGTGATAACATAATAAAGGAAATACAGCAAATAGTTAACAATCACAAAACATTGTGGATACAGGGTGTTCACTGTATAATTCTTTGAACTTTGCTATATGTTTGAACATTTTCATAATAAAATACTGGGATTTTAACTTCTGCACAGCAAGGAAAATCATCAACAAAAGAAAAAGGCAATCTACTGAATAGGAGAAAATCTTTGCAAATCATGCATCTGATAAAGGGTTAATATCCAAAATATATTTTAAAAAAAGACTCATACAAGTCAACAGCAAACAAATAAAAAATCCAATTTTAAAAATGGACAGAGGATCTGAAAAAACATTTTTCCAAAGAAGACATATAGATGGCCAACAGACACATGAAAAGATGTTCAACATCATTCATCATCAAGGAAATGCAAATCAAAACCACAATGAGGTATCACCTCATACCTGTCAGAATGACTATTATCAAAATAGACAAGAAATTACAAGTGTTAGCTTGAGGATGTAGAGAAAAAGGAACTCTTGTGCATTGTTGGTGGGAATGTAAATTGGCGCAATCACTATAAAAAACAGTATGGACGGTCCTTAAAAAATTTAAAAAAGTGATCCAGCAACTCTACCTCTGTTTATTCGTCCAAGGAAAATGAGAACACTAATTTGAAGATATATGCAGTCCCTTGTTCACTGAGTCTCACATACAACTTAGGAAACAACCTAAGTCCACCCATGGATTAAAGGATAAAGAAGATGTGTTACATACACAATGGAATATTATTCAGCCATAAAAAAGAACAAAATCTTGCCATTTGGGACATGTACGGACCTTGAGGACATTATGTCGAGTTAAATAAGACAGGTAAAGACAAATACCATATGATGTCGCTTATATGTGTAATCTAAAAAGCAAACAAACAAAAACCAAGCTCACTGATAGAGACAACAGACTGGCGGTCGTTAGAGATGAGGGCTGGGTGAAATAGGTGACAGGGGTCACAAGGTACAAACTTGCAGGTGTAAAGTCAGTCAGTCAGGAGGATGTGCTGTAAATGGCGATTGTAATTAATACTGTATCACATATTTAAAAGTTGCTAAGAGAATAGACCTTAAGTCCTCAACACAAGGAAAGAAAAAAAACTTTGTAACTATGTATGGTGAGTTATCAACTAGACTTCATGTAGTGACCATTTTGCAGTGTATATAAATACCAAATTACTATGTTGTACACGTGAAACTAGTACAAGTTTCATATTATGTCATACGCCTCAAAAGGAAAGAGAGTGAACGACAGATCTTTCTCTTTTAAAAGTACAGATGTTGTTCCACTGCCTTCTGGCAATGACTGGGATTAAATGCGTGTGGTTTGATTTCTATTTCCTTACATATAACAATACAATAGCAGTATTATGTAACTGTTTATAGGAATTGTTTAAGATTTTGTGAGGACATGAGACTTTCTAAATTCTTTTCCATTGATTTTTCCCTGAAACATGATGAACCCTTCCAGTCTGTACACTAAAGACCTTTCTTCAATACAGGAAAAATTTTCTCTTTTATTTTTAATGATTTATGCTTTTTAAAAAAACTCTTTGAGAGTATGCCAAAAGTTTTCTGAAATATTCTTTTGGACCTTTCCTTTTTAAAACTGTATTTATAAAATTACGCACCTATTTTGCAACAGTAACCACAGTTCAACCACCTAAATCACAAAAATAAAAATGTAAAAATGGCTCATTAATGCCAGGAAGACAGGAAGGGTTTGGTTACTAGCTCTCTAGTTTATAAAAGAATTAAAAGATGTCAGAAGTGGTATAGCTAGTGTTGGTAGCTACTAACAGGGAAAGTACATTTACACAGAGGACTTGTGGCAAATGCCTAAATTTAGGTTAACAAATTTACCACTCTCAATAGCTAGATAGCACTGTGTAACATACTCAAACATTTTGGTTATTATAAAGTACAAGTACTTCACTAAATACCATGTCAAAAAAACAGGTGAGTGGAGATGATCTGCAACAAACCTGTGTAACTCTCATCACCATCAGATAAAGGCACCTCTCTTTTTAGCAGCAATTCCAACTCCTCTGTTTCTGCTACATCCACTGGACGCTCCCCATGTTTGTTAGCTTGAAATGGATTTCCACCATGACGAAGCAAGAGTTTCACGATCTGCAAGAGCAAATGGTAGGAGATTTAGTCCCTTTGCAGACAGCACCATTTCAGCCATTTTCTTGATGAACTCGTAATATCCTTCCTCCTCATCTACTCCGCCTCCGTTTCTCAGTGTCTCCTCTAAATCGTGATTACTCTCAAGTTCCAATTTGACTGCCAACCCTCTTCTGATGATCGTACCTACTACAAAGAAGTGTGCTCCTTAAAATTCAAGCTGAAATTTACTTTAGCACTGAGTCTCATCATTTTTCTTCCTCTTTCATCACACATTTGACAAATGCTTACTGAGTATCTGTTAACAATCTCTGCTCCAAGTTCTGCAGATAAATATACGACCAAGAGTAACAGGATCCCTGCCTCTCGGAAGGTACAGGCTAGAGCAAGTCTCAGAAGTATCTCCCCTCTGATGAAGGCTCCTATCACTACCAACACTCTTAATCATCTTCTTTTCCGCATCTCCCAGGAACTTGAACTATCATTAACTGACATGCGTTTAGGAAAAACTAATGAAGCTTAAACGTCAAGGCCCCTCATTTTTATGGTTCCCTTACATGGCCCTAAATCTAATTTTTTTTATTCATTTCTTAAAGAAACCCCATCCCCAACTATGTAAGCTTTGAACGCCACAAAACCAAGATCTGCCTGATTAGTCATCACTTCTTTTGTTCGTTGCTTCTTATTCCTCTTCCTTTCTATACTTCTAACCTTTTTTGATTGGCTCCTTTTTAGAAACCAATCTTTCCAGTTCACGTCTCTTTCACTTTAAAACAATAATGGCAATAAAGAAATAAAACACAAGATTAAAAAACAGAAATTGTTCAAACCTACATTCCCCTCTTCCAGCTAAATCTCTTTCCTCTACAGTCAAGCTCCTGAAAAGATGTTACCCTTGAGCCGTGACTTGATAAACTGGCCCTTCACTCTTCTACCTACAATGATGCCACCATAAGGCCAATGAAATGAGTCTTCTAAGATCTGTGAATACCTAAGCAATAGCTCATTTCCCTGGGCTCTGCCCATGATTCCGTGTCTCATACTCTAATCCTGTTTCCTTATCATCTCTTCTTGTTTTGAGTTTCCACTTCCATGGCATTAGTGTTTTCTCTGGTAGGTGAATCTATACTGTAATTTATTAACACATTTCTCCCCTATCCTAAACCATAAACTTCATATGACATCAAGTCTTTTTTCACCTTTCTATTCTCAACACACAACTATGGTGCTTCCTGGTACTAAGGAAATACATTGTGTGTTTTTAGAGAAACAATATTAAACAAGATGTTGTAAATTAGGAACTTCTAACAAATGAAAAGTAATAAGAACAATAAAGATACACAGCAAATTAAAAAATGAAAAAAATTTTCCAGACTATGAAAGAATAAACTATCAATACATAAAATCTGCAAAGAATAAAGAAAACAAATTACTCGTGATCCCAACTGTTAATATTTAATTCCCCTCCTGTTTACTTATTTTTTATCAAATTACACATGCTTATGACTTTAAAATATCAACCAGCTTTTGAAGGCTGCTGGTGAAGAACTGTGCCTGACACATGTCTCCAGATACTACAGTCATGTTGTACTCAGCTTGCTGCGTCGGTAGTTTTCAGTTTTAGGCATTGTCTACTGTGTTGCAATGGAAGACGGGGATTTAGCGCTTTTACCAACTCTCATTCCTCTCTTCCCAGACACAGACACCCCATCACCGCAACTTTCCAATATATTTTTTGTGTGTATTATGATTAATATGAGTATTGAGCCAAGTAGTACAATATGACTAAATTTCCATTCCTACACAACTTTATTTTACCCACCAGAGTTAATTATCTTGGTTTTTCATTTGCTCAGTTTTCTAGACACTCATCTTCAATTTATCCCCCACGCTGTTACAAGCACAGATCTCGTCCATTCAATACACAACCATTTTTCTGGTTAGATGCCCTTCTCCAGGCCTCCTAACTTGCCCCGAAAGGACTGGCTGATCTCTGGATCTGTTTCCCGTTGTCTTCCTGGCATCTCTCTTCATCCTATAGTCCCAGAAATACCCTTTCCTCAGTTCTGTGTCGAATTCTTCAGCCACTATTTTTTTTCTTGGTTTACTCCATTCATTTTCTTGAAATACCAACCCCAGGAGATTCTTAAGAAAGAGTAAATATTCTTAAGAGTTTTACATGTCAGAAAATACCTTTATCCTATTCTCACTTACTCCTTACACTGGATATATAATAATTTCCCCCACAATTTTGAAGGCCTCACCATTACCTTCTAGTTTCTAGTGTTGTTTCTGATAATTCTGATGCCATTCTCACTTTCTGCCTTTACATCTGACTTGCCTTTTCTCTCTGTAAGTTTGAGGACATTCTTTGCTCCTATTGTTCCGAAACTCCAGGATAATGAATTTTGGTCTTGATCTTTTAACATTCATTGTACTGAGCAGTCCACTGCCCTTTCAATCTGAAGACCTGTGTTCTTTGGTTCTGGGGAAATTTCTGGTTTTATTTGTTTGGTATATCCTATGTTCTCACTGTTACATCTTCTAAGAACCCTTGTTAAGACACTGAATCTTCCAAATTAATCTTCCTTCTTTCTCATTTCTCCTCCTCCATCAATGTCTTCTTGTCTCCTAATTTCTGGGAGATTTCCTTGATTTTCTCTTTACCCCTTAATACTCCATTTTTTCATTTCTGCTACCGTACTATTAATATTCAAGAGCCTCTTTTGTTTTTGGTTTTAAATTCGTTAACTCTTCCTTGCTTAGTGCCTCCAGTTCTTGTTTCATGGCTACAGCAAAGTCTCCTATCTCTTTGGGGAAGGTAGTGAGTTGGGCTTTTTAAGTTTCTCTTGGCACTACTGTGTCCTCCAGATTCCTACTTTTCTGTTTGCTTGTTTTGATATCTGCCTTACATACTGGAGACTTTTCTCAAGGGTCAGATTATCATTGGCTGTCCACGTTTAAGAATAAGGCACTAAAAGACTCACTGCAAGTTTTTTAGGTATTGGTAGGACTTGCTGACAGATGGACTTTGTGCTAGTGTGGCATGGCTGGGCCACTCCATCAGAACCCCTCTTGGCTAATTCAGTTTCCTGGGGGGGAACCTTTCAACTCACGCCTAGAATCATAAGCCTTACAGTCAGCATTCTGGCTGCTGAAAGGAGACGGAGGTCTTAACATTCAGTATGTTCTACTTAATTAACTTACAACTTAATCCTTATTCCCAACTACCCTTGTGGTTAAGTCAGTCCACAACCTATGGTTTATACTTGTCAGGAAATAAATCTTCAATCATCTGCCAGGATGGGAGAGGTGTAACATCTAGCTATGAAGGGTTAGGAAGGGAACAGGAAGGTCAAAAACAGTTTGATCTAATTGTCTTGTTTTCAGTCTTACTGAACAGGCACTTCCAGATGTACCTGGGCACCAGCTGCTGGGCTCTAGTTTTTCTGGGTTTCTGTGTTGAGATGGCTTTGGTTTCAATATTCTTGCATTTTCTAAATTAGGAGATGGCAAATTTGGTATGTAGCCCAAATCTGGCCTGCTAAGAGTAGTTTTTATATGCTTATAATATACTTTTTAAAAAATGGATAAAGGAGAAGCACTGAAGAGAGAGGAAGGAGAGAGGAGAAGATGGAAGAGAGGTGATGGAAGTGGCACGTGGCCTGTAAAGCCCAAAGTACTTACTGTCCGGCCCCTGACAGAAAGTTTGCCAAACCCTATTCCATGCCAGTAGCCACTCTTTCCTCAAGTTTCTATCTTCCCAAATACTGGTTTTCTTATTTCCCCTGTTCTTTGTCCTTGTGGGTCTATGTCCTTTAAAATCTCCCCTTACTATCATTTTAGGGGTTTGATAAGGTTACTGAAAACACTTTAAGTTATTATAAATAATGCTGTAGTGAACATCTTTAGAAGTTGAAAATTTTTTCATTTGTAGGCTTATTTCCTTAGGCTAGAGTCCTACAATGAGAACACAGAACAAAGGATCTTGGTAGTGATGAAAGCATTCTATACCCAGCAGCAAATAATCAACCAGTATTTATTATACGCCTGTGACGAGTCAGAGACAGCTGGTTCTTTCAAGCATGCTACAAAAATCCTAACAGAAATAATCAATGCTTCGCAGACCATCCTCATGTGCAAAAAAAATCATTTATTCTGGAAAGAATGTAAAGTAACTTAAAGCTACTTAAAATATAGCAGGCAGCAAATGAGAAGCAAGTAAAAATGATGAGACAAGAATGAAGACAGGTAGTATCTAAAACAGACTAGGAATAAGGCTATTATAAAAATGTGTATTAGAAGTTACTATACACTTGTTAAAGGCAGACCAGAGATTAGGTTCTTAGTAAGCTATGTTAATTTTCTCTTATTCTAAAAAAATTTTTAACAGGCTACTGCTTCTCCCACCTTAGAAACGTCTTATGGATGACTGAAGCTGTCCTGAGTATAACTGAGTGAGAGAAATCCAAGCCTTTGGTAGAGACTCATAACCTGTGGTACAGACATATACAAATGAGAGTTTTTGGTGGCTCTCATCTCTTTCCTCCTCCCTGGGGACAAGTAAAAGAACAAGGAGAAAACAGCCCTCAACAGCTCTGAATTGTGACTCCTACTATCCTGGGCATGCTGGTAGGAGGAAAAGCAAAGTTCCCTTGAAAATAGCATGCCAGTCTCCCTCTGGAAAGAGACTGGAAATAGTGTTTGAGTCCCTGTAAGTACATGAGCTCAAAGGTCAGCTTCTGGAAATATTCTGCAGCTGTGTGCACATTTAGAAACTTGTGTTCACAGAACCATGTCTTACTCATAAGGCATAATTCTTTAACATCACACTTAGAAATCAGGAAATTTTTTCATACAACATTTAAAGGAAAACTATTCACCTCTGACAAACTCAGTAATACTTTTAAAAAAAGGGAAATAAGTACAGCATTTAAAGTATCACAGCCAGAATATAAACCGGTTTATGATAAATTCAGTGGAAAGGGAAAACGTCAAGCCTTGTGGGTTAAGTTTTGGCATTCTGCCTGCCTTAGTCAGGTATGTATTCACCCATTCATCCATGTACCTACGCACACATCCATACAGAATTTTTATGTGCTTCTTATATGACAAGTGGTTCCAGCGTCACAAACACAAAAACAGTACAAAAAGCTTGCATGCATGGTGCTCAAAATACAGTGCAAGAAACACACAAGTACATCAGTAAGAAAATAACGTAGTTAAGTGCTGTCACCCAGGTATGTGTGAGCTGTCAAGGGAGCAGAAAAGACTGGTCTGACGGTCGGCAAGGACCAGTTTAGGAAAAGTAACATCATGGGCTACATTTTCCTTCATAACTAGAACTTCCTTGAGAATTATGAAAAATACCTTATAGAAAAAATGTTAACGAGAAAAATGGCATTTTTAATTTTCAAATTTTAGTTTCTAAAATATTTGAGTATATATGAAAAACAGCAATACAAAAGTAGCCTTTCAGTCTTTTACCTCCAACATTTCTGTAACATTTTAAATTTCAAGGTATGTTTACATGCACAGTGTCTTTTTTTCCTCCTTCAAAATATCCCCTTTAGATAGGTACTATTTATTCATTATGTAATTTAAAGATAAAAAATTGTAGGTTCAGAAGAAAAAAAGTAACCTGTTTGAGATCACACAGGTGGCAGTCTCGCTGGTCCAGAATTGAATTAATATCTATTTTCACTCCAAATCCCATTTTTTTCTCAACTAAAGTAAAATGCCCTTTGAAAGACTGTCAGTGTGACACTGAAATTTTTATTGTGTCAAAAAAAAATAAGATCAACTGTACTTCAGTAAAAAATAAAATAAAATGCAAAAAAAAAGGAAAGAAAGAAAATAAGGCAGAGAATGTTTGCTGCTAATGAGAGGGAAAAAGGGGGTTTTTCCAGCAAAAAGGTATGAGATGCTATCAAAATCCCATGCAGGACATTACAAAGCATGTCCTAAGCTATGCACCAGAGAGTGAATAACAGCTCTTTCAGATTAATGAATCACTGCCTCACTTTGTCATAAAAAACACTCTGCTATTTATCCTTACTTTGGACTCATGGCTGTCTGATGAACTTGGGAGTATCCCAGACCAGTGGTCCTCCTGTGTCCCTGCTTCTCCGTGCTCTGGGAGAGGCTGAGGTACTGTAATGTAATGGCTCATATGGTTTCAACAAGAGTTACAAGAAGGCTGTTCAGTTACTGTGATGATTAAAATAATTAATACATATAAGGCATTTACCACACTTCTCACCCCATAGTGAAAGCACAAATATTGCTGTGAGAAATTAATATAGTTCACAACACACAAACACAAAATAAATTATCACAAAGGGCAATTAACTCATAGCATTTAGCTTCATACCCCGTCATTGCATTATCACGTGAATACTGAGGATTCTTCTTACTGTGGAAACTAATTTCCATTACTGTCACCTGCTGACTTCTCATGTTAAGTCACTTAACTTTGGGGGATACTCACTGAAGCTTATTGACTGAAAGAAGGTAAGACAAATGCAACTACCTGAAAATGCAAGAGAACAAGAACCTCAGTAAATAAAATAATTCATGTGATGCTCCACCACTAGGTCTTTCTTACTACGAAAAATTTTAGTAATTCCAAAAGGTATTTAGATCAATAAGCAGGTACATCTTCACTTGCGATGAAGATGTAAAGTAAGAGCTGTGTTCACTTCCACGCAGACTGTGCAAATATTTCTCAAAGAAAACACCATTCACAGCCAAAGTTTTAAGCTGCGGAAGCGGCTGACCTCATGAACTCAGAGCGTAACGAGATGATAAATGTGATGGGAGTGAGTGAAGACTCTGTTCGGTTTAAAAAGGCTGCATGCGCTGCCAGCCGTGCTGAAAGGTGTCCAAATCCACTCTTCTCTCCTCCTGCCGCCATCGCTGGTCTGCTCAACAGGAAAATAAGGTACGAGGAAACTTTTAAAGGGGATTTCCTGACCTTATGCCAAATAAAGGACACTTGGGCTTGAGGTCACCATGAAAATAAAGTGTCACCTGAGTGTCTGGATTTGGGGGCTCACGAAGGCCGGTGTTTGACTCTTGCCTGGAGAAACCTGAGAGTGAAAAGTTAACTGGGTTTGGTACTGACACCACAGCAAGGAAGGAGGATGGTCATGGAAGCACATGTGCGTGTTCACTGGTGGTGGGAAACGGTGTGTTTCCTGGGCCGAGCCTGCAGGGTGGACTGGAGCTGAGAGGCACCTGCAAAAGGACGCACAGGGCCAGGCGACGGCCCAGCGCAGGTGCTTCCAGGGGAAGTGTACAGTGCATACTGTGAATCGCTCAGATTCTCCTCTTCTGGACCAACTTATTCTCCCAAGAGCTGGGAGTGCTGCTGGCTGATAATGTGTAGCTAAGGTCCTCACCAGGTACAGCCACAGCCAAACAAAACAGCATCAGTTAACGGTTAATGTCAGCAGCTTGCATCCCATAACTGGTCCGTATGGAGCCCCAAAGACCTAGCCCCCGACCTCAAGTCAGACTATGGTGGAAGGGCACCCCAGCAGCAGGAACCCCGTGCGGGATGGGCCGAGGCCACTGCTGCAGCGGCACGGCAGCTCAGCTTCTCCCTGTCCTCTCCTGCTGCTGTCACAAACCTACGGGTGTTGCTCCTCAGATCACGTGCCCCCTCCACCAGTCTCTGCAATTACCTGCAAATTTCTGTTTTGGAGTCCCAAGGTACCCAACCTATGGCAGATGCTACTGACGGTGGTCCTAGAAACAAACTCTAAAAATTTTAAAACAGGATTTCTGAGCTAGACGACATGATGGCTGGCCATGAGATGGAGTCCTGAGAGCCATGGCACACAGCAGGTGTGTAACTGTTCAAACTCCCAGGAGCCTTGAGAGGTGCAGGGATGTAACAGTTATAATGAGTATGATTCTCTGCTTATGCCTTCAAAGCCAGCTGAATGCACCCTCTCTATCCCTGAAGAACAGAGGTTTATTTTCATTGTAAGAGTAAGTTTCTAGGTTTAGACAGCAACACAGTGGAGAACAGTTCTATGGTACTTTACCCAGATCAGGAGGACGAAGCAGAAGTTTCTGCGGGACAGAATAAGTTCACAGTCTCCCCTCACCACTGTCACACAGAAACTCTTCTAGGCTTCTAGGATGCTGGAAAACACTCCTATGCCACCCAGACAGGAAAGCAGAGTGTTTACTTTTGGAGAAACTGTCCATCCAAGGGAAGGATCTACAACTACTGACACTTACGAGGCTTCTGACAAAAGAGCCACCCTGTCTTCCAGACACAGTACAGAGAAGCCCACCAGTCAATCAGCTCCAGACATCACACAACTTGTCAACCAGGCTTTTTAGAGCTTCATTCAATCATGAATGACAGAGGTTAGCAGAAGATCTCTAACTTGAAAAATATATCAAAACAGAGCAATTAGAAGGATCTTAGGAAAATCCATGACCAAGCAGGAAGTAGAACAAACCATTTCATTAATATTCTCAGAGAGTTCAGATGGGCACCTGGAGACTGGGAATCTCCATGGAGAGACTGTGAGAACACCACATGGGTTAACGGCAGAGCTCCCTGGACAGCACCTGTGCTACAGAGCTAGAGAGCAGCCAGCCCCAGTTCGAGCAGGACACAAGCTAGCTATCCTGTGCATGAGGGTACTGTCAAAAATAATAAACTGACCAGTGTTTGACCTTACTCAGGCATTTTAGAGTTATGTCAGAGGGAGTAAAGAAGTATGAAATGGATGCACAGAAAACTAAATACAATTATAGTATACTCCATGAGTCTTTGAGCAGCAGTATTTATTAAAATCCTTTGCAGGAGATCAATAACTAGTGATTAAGAATTAAAAAAGCAAAATGGCTTTGCATCTTGTTAGAAATACATAGGTAAATAGTAGAAGAAGTACCTACAATGGCTGCTTTCGGTGAAAGGTACTAGGAAGTGAGGCTGGGAGGGAGCCTGCAGTTATCTTGATAAGCTGAACAGTGCTTTTCAACTTTTTAAGGCTCTGTGTAAGCATTCCTTGATAAAAGTAAACATTAAGTAAAAGAGAAAAACTACTTATTTGATAAACAAAATCCTGCTTTAGAACCACTGCTAACAGTGCCCCCAGTTGATCTGCTCTGGCCACAAGCGAGTGACAGCAATGGACTTAAGCATTAAAAACACACTTAAGACACAAGCATCGTTACACAAACATTACACTAACAAAGACTGGTTCGACTTTGATATCAACATGCCAGGGACTGAAATATGCAAATAGAATTATAAACCATGCTAGGTTTTAAATATCACATCAAAACAAGTTAAACATGATGTTTAAAGATGCTATTAATTCAGAAGCATATACAATCATGCTTGATTAAATCATTTTATTATTCTGCACATAAATCTGAACACATTAAATACATGTCAGCTAAAATTCAGAAACAGATGTTATGTATAAAGGGATCATTAAATATTAGTAAGTCTTAAAAAGAAAAGGCAGCATGACAATGTACAATTTTTATTAAAAGTGAAATCCGGTTTATCCGCTACAAGTAATTACCTGACAGCAGAATGGTCTTTGAAATAAAAAAATTCGACAAGTTGGTTCAATTATCAAATTAAACAGATTTTGTAAGAAGATAATGCTAAATCTATGCCAGGAATTAGCAGTTAAAAGGCAAAAATAGAGAAAATAAAATACAGATGAGCTGATCAGGCAACGAGTGAAATATGATACAAGATCAGATGACAAGGCAGTGAATTAAATTACTCCAGGTTAAATTTATATTTCGAAAATGTTCACTGGTATTTCCATCATACTTACATCTTTGTGCCCACTACTAGCAGAATCGTGAAGTGGAGTGTCATCATCTAATCCCTGCGTGTTAACATCTGCTCCAGCTGCTATAAGTATCTTAGCCACATCGTAATATCCAACGTTGCAAGCTTCATGCAGTGGTGTCCAACCTGAAGTTGGACCAGAATATTAATTAAACATATGGTTCACTTCTACTAACTTAATACATACGCTTTTTATATACATAACCACGTGTGACATATTGATTCTAAATGCACACGATACAGAAGGAGAAAGGAGTAACAAGCAAGCTCCCGGAAATAAGAACTGCGAACACCATCAATTTTACAGAAGGTAACTCGCAGTATTATTTCCACTGGGCTAAATTACTTGACAAAAGTATTAAACATTGAAGGTTATCCAATAAATACAAACTTCATATAATTCGTAATAATCTCATCTGAACTATGGAAAAGGAATTGGAAAAGGAGGCAAAATAAGCTGAAGGCTTTCATCTGTTAAGTCAAAACCTCTTCCGAACTTAATACTTATTTTAACTGAAATAAATTTATCATTTCAATTACTTTTATAAATTAATTTGCTGCTTCTACTTATTACAATTAAAGTAATTCCGCATGTCATTACATTTCTTCAAAACAGGATTTCACTGATTGGGGATAATATAATTTATTTAAACAAGATCCTATTATTAGGCATTTAGGTTATTTCCAATTTTTAAATATTAAATGTTAGTCACAATATATAAAAGTAGATTTTAAAAAGTTTCTGCTGTTTAATATAGGGAAGTATGTTCAGTATCTTGTAAGAATCTATAATGAAAAAAATGAAAACGATTATATGTATGTAAGTGAATGACTGGGACATTGTACTGTACACCAGAAACTGACACATTATAATCAACCGCACTTCAATTAAAAAAAAAAGAAAGAAAGAAACAATGCTGCAACAAATATCCTTACAACTAAATCATCAACTAAATCATCATGCATATCCATGATTAAATATTTAAGGTAAGTACCTAAAAGTGAAATTGTTAGATAAAAAGGGAAAGTAATTTTTGGGGGAGTTTCTGGTAGATAACATAAAGTTTTCCTCTAGAATAAATAATGCTGTGCATTTTAAGTCTCAATTTTGAAAAAGATCCTGTATGTCTCCCTTTTCCCATTCACACCAAGTAAGACAAATAAATTCCAGGTGTATTCTAATAGGGCTATATGTGAAAATAAAACAAAAAATCTGGAAATGAGAGAAAACAAGGAATCGTTTTATGATATAAAGGCCAAAAAAAAAGGCTTTCTTGAATAGAAGACCAAAGAACCCACAAATGAAAAGATTAACTGATATGATTACATTAAAAACTAAAGCTTTCGTATAATAAACAATGCTGTAATGCAAATTCAAACACTGCCACAGTGAAAATCGTTACATATCTGACAGAGAATTACAATCTACCCTCTTACATACTGATAATACTACCAAACCGTAACAAAAACAGGCATGGGACCAGGTATAGCAATTCACAGGTCACATAGAAATTTACACTCTGTATAAAAAAGAAATATCCACTGTCACTACTGATTAAGAAGATCCAAATTAACTAAGTTCTTTTCTTCTTCTGTCAGACTTTTAATCATTAAACTGATAATACTCAGTTTTAGGGAAGGTGTGAGGGAAAGGCTCTTTTTACTCTTGCAGAGACTGTAAATTGATGAAAGTTTTCCTGGAGGGCCTTCTGCCTCTATTTCAAAATTTTTTAAATACACACAGCTTTTCATGTAACAGTTTCTGTTCTGCTGAAGCCCTGAAAGCCTTCTGCAACTGCGCACAGACGCATCTGCACAGGAGCGCCCCCGGAGCATGCCCGTGCGGTCCGTGCTGCCCAGCACCCTACAGCTGCCGTGGTAAGTGAAGCAGAACCGCCCCTGTGCACCGACGGAAATGTCTGCAGGACGCCAGGCACGAAAGGCGGACTGCAGACTACGGGCTGACAGACACAGAAGGAGTGATGTGGTTTTTTTTTAAGTCTATATATAAGTAAATATTCATTTAAAATATATGTGATAATCGAAGTGCATGGAAAGGATAACCTCCAAACTGTTAACAGTTCTGTGGAAAAGAAAGAAACTGGGGGGTGGGCGGGTAGGGTATGTAGTATGTGAGACTAAAGGAAACTTCGGTATTGTCCCCTGCACACTTCCACTGTCTGACCTCTTTACGGTGAGAATGTACTGCTATGACAGCTGAATAATCGAAGTGAAACAACCATCGCTGCTCTCACAGTCCTCATGTAAAAGCTAATACATGTTCCTGGAAGACAAACTACTGTGAAAACATTATGTAACTTGAATTCACCTAGAACCTACATTGGATAAAAATTTATACGGTAATATATCAACTAAAATGTAAGTTTAATATTTAAAAATATGAGTAACTACTGACATGGAATTGTAGCAGAGATCACAGTTTTACATATACATTCCAAAAACAGTTTTGTAGTCAAGTATACCTTTAGGAATGAGGAATGTAGATTAAATTGTAACTAGAATCAAGTTAGATGAGAAATTCAAAATTTTAATTCTGACTAATAATCTTTAATTATTACTCTTACCTGCAAAATCTTTTACATTCACATTTGCCCCTAAACTTATTAATTCTTTGACTTGTTTCACATCTCCTCTAATAGCTGCCATGTGTAAAGGAGTTTCACCACGTTCATTTCTTTTATTAACTTTATCTTTTTGTCGAGATGAGGAACTGGGAGTTTTCTTTTGGGCTGGTGTTGTCTGTGATGGATGATTTGGTGTGGACTCTATAAGAAAGAAGAAAGTTAACAGAAGTTCCCGTCTGAGTATTTTATATATTCATTTAAAGGTTTTTACAAGTAATGTGCTAACTTCCTGGAACAGGGGGAATATCTTCTTAACCTAACAATCTGAAACTTGACTTGGATGATACATTAATAATTTGACCCAATTACATGGAGTAGATCTTCCTTTAGGATTATCAAATATTGCATGAGCCAATCAAGAAAAAAATTTTTATTCTGTCAATGCAGAAAGTTGGTTTAAAACAATAACAAAGTATCAAGTATATACCCTATTAAGTGTCTGCTCAATGAATAATTTGATAAACTGCGAACAAAAGGTACTTTTCATGGCATGTTATATTATTTTAAGACCTAGATGAAATCACACTGAAGGCTAGAGTTTACACCGCCGACTCAACATACTGCAGTTCTATTGTGATATTAGGTGCAATTTAAGGTCATAGATGATGTTACTATGAAAAGAAGGTTAACCTCTGTAAGAAATAAGGACAGTCTGGAAAAAGGTCCTTAAAAAGTGGGCTGATACAGACACAAAACAGATAAACAACAAGGTCCCACTGTACAGCACAGGGAACTATATTCAGTATCCTGTAATAATCTACAGAGTCTGAAAAAGAGTCTGAAAAAGAATACACAGACATATTCTTATTCTTCAGTTATGTACAACTGAATCCCTTAACTGTATACCTGAAACTAACACAACACTGTAAATAAGCTGTACTTTAATATAAAAAAAATGGACTGCTAAAAGAGAAAAAAATTTTTTTGATTCCCATCATTTGACTTTTGTTCCAATTTTCTATCAAAAAAAGACAGTTAACCAGATGATGCCCTAAGTGCTCTCCCTCCCTGTTTCAGAACTGGGAAAACAAACAAACAAACAAAAAAACTGGTTTCTTAGTCAATCAAGGATTGAAGACATATGTACAGAGCTTATCATTAATTCTGAAAATTTTAAACTATTTCAAAGAAATAACAGCTCTAAGAGAAAAAGGTCTATGAAAAATAATTTTCTAGTGTCATATAATAATTTCCTTGCAAACTGACATAATTAGAGTGCTAAAGTATTATCATCCTTTTCTCAATAAGAAAAGTTAAAAATTTACCTTTTGGATTTTAAAGTACATTGTGTCAGTAACCATCTCTTATCTATGTATTTCTATAATGCACACTCCAGAGGAGCGAGAAGACTTAGAAGGACTAACTCTTAGAACAGTGAGGACTGCTCAGAAGACTTCTTGGTACATAATGATACTCACGTAATATTTGTTGAACGAATACATGATTTTTATTATAATCTCCATAGTCAAATTATTTATTTAGAAAATTAGCAGTTTAACTTCTTAAAAGCAAAAAGGACGTATTTTTAAACTCACACAACTCAAAGGAATTAATTCATACAAAATTTTGTTCGCCATACCAAAGTAATGTTTACACAAAATAACAGTGCTATCCATAATGGCAATCCAGATAAACATAACAAAACATGGAAAATTAATTATGTAATGGATAAAACGATGAACCCTAAACTCCAAGTGTATCTTACAAGCTGGCAGACAGCTTGATATTTCAAAAGCTTTCCACTCTAGTTTTATATATGTTGATAGATGATTAAGATGTACCCTTAATGAAAAGAACCAACTGCAGAACAGTATTATAGTAATCTTATTTATATTTAAAACAAACTCTAACAAAAGATATATATTTGCATGTCTGTACCTAGAAAATCTCTAGAAGATAAACTGTTAATAGTGGGTACCTCTCAAGGGGGGAGGTTACTGGAAATGGGAGAGGATTTTAGCTTTTTGCCTTACTGTATTAACTCTTTACTTTATTCTAAGGATAGAGGTTCAGAGTATTAAAAAAAGTTTTGAAAAATACAAGTCTTCCCATCTAACTTTAAATACAACTCAAGGTCAAGATTTTACAGGAAATTTGAAGTTCAACACTGTTAATATCTTTAATTTGGCCACAATCTTTCCCAAACTGTGGGTCAAAAGGCAGGAGAATAACCAAACCAACATGCTCTACGTAAAAAAGCAGGAAGCCCTAACATGTTTTTATTAGTGAAAGGTGTAAGACACACTCAATGCTTTGATGGAAACTATGATACAAAGAAACTATAAGGATTTTATTAATTTGTCCCATTGTTTTAAAAAGAACCAACACAGGAAAAGTTCACTAGAAAAATTGTGTCCTTTTCAATGCATTTAAACAGGGTCTTTTATTTACCCAAAGTCTTACATAAAGAGGCCTTCAATTCAGCGTCAAAAGAGAAAATTTTCTTCTCTAGACAAAACTGATTTACCTTCTTCTTGTATTGGTCAATGAGAACTATAAAACTTAAAATTTTTCTTTTGTGTTGTTAGCTATCAGAATGTATAGTTAAATTCAATGCTCAACAGTAATTACTATCTCGGCCCAGCTCTCTTAATTTTAAAGCTCTTTTAATAAATTAGGTTGGTATGTTTGTTCCCTCTTTGTTTTGGTCCTGCTGGTGAGCCATTTTCAATTACTTATGGAAGGTAAAGTACTTGAATAAACACATATACACAAACACACACACACGCACGCGTAGAGCCACTCCTTAACTGGAAGTGTGAAATGAAATATGAAATAAACTTATATAGTATACTGTAGATATTTTTCCTTTTAAAATAAATTTTAGTAGATCTTAACAAAACATGGATTATACCCTTGCTTCTAAATGCATGTGATAAGATTATCAGCCTTCAGCAAGGTGCTAATGAACTGAAAAGTAAACTATAAACCTAGAAGCAGCTTTGCAGAACCTGGGGTAAAAACTTCGGAGCAAGGTAAAAGCACACAGTCCTGCAACAGATTTCTCAAGTTGACTGATCATTTCTAAATTACAGTTGACCTCAGAACAACTTGGGGATTAGGGAGAGGCACCTACCCTCCCTGCATCTGAAAATCCGGATGCAATTTACAGTTGGCTCTCTGTATTCTCAGTCACACATCTGCAGATTCAACCAACTGTGGATCGTGTAGTACTTAGTATTTACTATTGAAAAAAGCTGCACAAAGTGGACCCACACAGTTCAAACTGTGCTGTTCAAGGGTCAACTGTATGCATTCTACTTGACAAGTATTTACTAAATGTCCACTCTTGTACAGTCTTTCATCTAGTGGAGGATACAGACAATAAACAACTGTCACACAAATAAATGTAAAGTTACAAACTTATAAAAAATTCTGATTAAATCCAGAAAAGAATTTAAAAAATTTAAAGTACTTAAAAGTAATTGGTAAGATAAGGCCACACTGTGAGGAAAACTAAGGACACACATGGACTCAGTGACGGTAAGTGTCACCTGGACTGTTGTCCCTTGCTGTCATCTGCATAAGAAGTGCCATCTGCTTTCGCTCCGAGAGTGGATAACCAAAAAGAATGCTCACTGGGGTGGACTTCTTATTTCCTGCTTCCTTTTTTGTTTTCTTCTTTTCTGGACCTTCTTTCTCTGGAATGATTAAAAAAAAAAAGCGTAAGATTCTGAAAGAAATTTAAGCACTCAAAAGTAAAACATAAAAAGACTTTCTAAAAACAGATGCTATACGTGTACACGAGAAACGTGTGTAACAAACGAACTAGCAGTAGGCAGACGAGAGAGCACCAGGCTTCCATTACATGAACAATTTTCTTTGTGAATGCTTTGAAAAATACTTTTAATTGTATAATTTTCAGAAAATTAGAAACATTTGGAAATTCAGCCCTAGTAAAATTTGTATTTTAATGATTCTATTAATATTTAACTTCTTCAATAATATTTCAAACATTCCTTAGTTTTGCATCTTCGAAACTTCTCTTTCATTCATTATAATTTTATTCTTCTTAATTACTGCTAAGCCTAAATAGCCATGTTCCTTCATATTACTTCCCTAATTCCACTGAATATTTGTACAATCTTCTAAGGAGACAAATATTTAAGACAAGTCACATCACAAAGAATAATTACTGAAAAAAAGCAGCAGATCACTTCATTCCAGTCATAGGATAGTTGAACAAGGCATAGTATCAGTCAAAGTTAAAACAGAGCAAATTAAAGATTGTGTGTGTGTGTGTGTGTGTGTGTGTGTGTGTGTGTGTGTGTGTGTGTGTGTGTGTGTGTGTGTGTGTGAGGGGTGGAGGGGGAAGTTAACAGAGAATCTGCAAAGATTCAAAAAATTCTAAGGAGTTTTTCAAAGATCTATCAAAAAGTCAGCTCTCAGATTTAGCTATTTGGGAAAACTTCTGGCAGTGCAGCTAGAATTCCCCATGAAGTGCTGGAATATTCAGATGGAAGTGGACTTCACAGCTCAAAGACACACAGGTGTCTGTTCTTCCTCTAGGACTTCCTGAGGATTAGTTCAGGTAGTCCCCTGAGAGGACCTGCCTATTATTAACTGTCTAGGCATCTACTTCCTGGGAAATCCTATACCGACATCTGGGCTTTACTGACCCAGGTTTGAAGCTCCCTGTAAAACAGCAAAAATGAGTGGGAGAAGGGATGGCTCAGTAGTCAATACTGGGTATTTTTCCAGACAGACGTGGCCAGCAGCTGGATTACTCTAGGAGGTAAGTATTTATTGATCTAGCAAGATTCAAGAAACTAAAAAAAGTTTGATATTATTTAAGTATTATTGTATTATTATTTAAGGCATAAAAACTTCCAATGTATTAGTTAATTAGGATAAAATGGATAAACTGGCGTCTTAATGGCCTAGAAAAATTAAAGGTCTTAATATTTAAACTCTGCTGCCCACAAATCACTCAAAATTCAATAGTTCCTAAAATATCCATTTAGCTGATATTTGATTTTACATTAAAAATTTCAACACTTTAAAAGTCAGTCTATATTAATAGTTCTAATATATTCTTCTATTTTCATGTTTGTCATTTTATTATCATTAATGATCCAATTAGTATAAATCCAGTTTCAGCACAGTGTTTCACCTAGCCTACTAAATTACAAAGCCCTTAACAGGTCTTTTGAACAGGCCTATTTTTTCCAGAAACATGTACTTTCTCCTAATAATGTTCTGTATGCTTCATATTTAATGAAGAACCATGATTGCTGTAGTTTTAATACTTTTCTATTTGAATAACAAATCTTTAAATGTAATGAATGTACTTCTCACCCAGAATTAAATATTTAAGTGTGACAATTTTATAGAAAGGAGAAAAGTTATTTTCAGGAAAGTAAGTTCAGTAATTATAGGAAGCAAAATAAAAAACACATAATACCTCTATCCTTAAAAGACTTTCTAAAATTTTGGAAAAAATTTTGTCTTTTACTTTCTCATTTGCAAAATAATTATTTTTTGGTATTGACTGCATTTTAATACAATGTTTTAAAAAATATGCTCTACAGTGATATATACTGTTTATAGAAAATAGTAAGACAATTATAAATTCATTATTAGAATTCCATGCTGCCAATGAGCAAAGAGATAATTATTACATTCTGGAGAAGAATAAACTAACTGGATATACTCCAAATATTCAAGCAAAAATTTCAATTAGATATCAGCATCCAAAATGAACTTTTTTCTTTAACTGAGTTACTTTAGTTATCTGAGTTCATGCTTTACATGAGATAGGAAAAGAAGATAAGTGAACAGCTAGACTAGAGATAACCATATGCCATTCTTCAAAAACATAAATGTTAGGCTACCATGTTGCAAAGTTTGCCTTTTCAAGTTTAAAGCATTCAACAAAATTCTGACAATCTGGGATCTATCCAGTGAAGAACTTGTTTCCTCTGACCTGTCATAAGTAAAAAATGATCATATACTATATATACTAGAAAAAGTTAGGTACTTTTTCAAATTTCAGTAATTGAAATACATATTTATTTATTTGATTAATGGGTCAGAATTTTAAAATTTAAACACAGAAACACTGACACACATACTCATTCAGCACAATCTACTATAGACTTGAAATTCCACTCAGCCATCTTAAGAGATTTTTAAAGAAAAATCCAAGTGATTCACTTAAGACTAAAGAAAAAGGTATTGGGACTTTTCAAGAATCCAACATTCTTTCTTTCAAGGTTCAGAGGATCTTTAGAATAACAGAGATGTCTCAGTCTTATAATCTCAAAAATCAGTGCCTTCTTTCCAGGTCATGTCAGAAGAAATAGAAAGCTCCAAAATGTCACATCCCAATTAAGCATATTAAGGAGAAGAGACAAAATTGTTTTTCTTGGGGATCTGGTTCATAAATATATCAGTATCTCAAAAACTAAAGAATATAACGTTTTCCACAAAGTAGTCACTGTATAAAGAATGAAGCAATGGAGCACAAACTCAAATACAGAGGAACATAGTTAAATCAATCACATTTAGAATGTATATACTTCAATTCTGAGGAAAAACGCTGTCAAATACTCTTTCGTTCTGAAATATCTACACAATCTCTAACAGCTGGGGGCTCTCCTGTTCTGACTTTCAGCAGTCATACTCAGATCGTGGATGGCTTCGTCACATACAGCTCTTTTAGGTGCATCCTGGTACTTAGGAGCCTCATTTTAGGAAAGAACACTGAACTCCACAAGAGTAGGTCTTTTCAATTTAATGCTTATTGTAAACATGCCTCCCACCCCTAAATTTTGATAACTAAGTATTATTGACTTATCAGCTCAATTTAACAGCTTTTAAGATAATTTTACGAATAACTATTTGGTTTTATACCAACCCTACAAATCTATAAAATAAATACAAAGTACATCAGAAACAGAAAATTTATTTCAGTTTTTAGACTTAAATGTCATATGCTAAAAACTGGACAATCAGGGACTACACAGTATTTTACATTAAAAACAGTTCAGAGACAAGAATGTAAGCTCATTAAAAAGGAAAAAAGACAATCAAAACAATTAATTAGTTTACACATACCAGAGAATATATTTACTCTTTAATGGCATTTTTCCAAGAAACCTAGTGTTTTGATCCACTTTGAAATTCAACATGGGCAGCGAAGTCAACAGACTAAGGAGGTCAACCAAAAAAGTTTTTAAGGGTGTTTTTAAAAAAAAAACAAAAACAAAAAACACTGCATGATTTAAGAGTAAGACAACACTGCCTACCACCATCCATACACGTGGTATACCTTGTCGGGGAGTACAGCAAAGAGACTAAGGCCCTCGGGTACCTTCCCACAGGGGTCACTGCACCGCACAACTCCAAGGAGCTGACTTGAACACTTTTCTAGGTGAGCGGCGCCCCCACAGTACACTGCACAACACCTTAGTGGCGGTATGCACCCTGCTTACAATGTTCATACAGGGCATGTCTTGGGTATGATGCACCGCATAGCTCAAAAGAAAATTGGAAAATTTCGTGTCATTCACATATAGTTCACTTATCCAAACAAAGACATCTACACACTGGTTTGAAAGTAAGTTGTTTATAGCACAATAATTAATTGTAAATGTGACAGAAACCACTGGCTAAACAGGAGCCCCTGATAATCTAATTACCTGAGTATGTCCTGTAAGAAGATATAAGTCTCTCCCCCCAATTTTCACTTGTATGTCCTGGTTCTGAATCTACAGAATGAGAAGACAGGAGAAAAGAAAAAAGCATACGAAGGGAAATGCAGAATTCAACAAACCAACATTTTTCAAAAGATCACTAGTTAGTCAATGATGTATCATTGTTTTCCCAAAAGATTATATTTTAAAGGTAAAGCCAAAAGTACATTTAAATCACAGGTTTGGCCAATAACTAAGATTTCAGTTTCTTTAACTGGAATATTAAAGTTGAGAAAGTCAACCATGTACCTTGCGATAACAGTTGTCACTGGTGCTGCTTATTAAAACATATCATCTCTTTTGAGGATATATATTTTTTTCAATCTCTGAATAATGATGAAAGAGGCAGTACTCCATCACTGTTTTTTTGTTTAGAATTTGTCTTTAGAAATGACTTTTGAATAATGGACTTGCATCAACCTTTTTTGTTCTATGAATACCAAAACTACTCACAAGACAACAGAACATTTTAGACCACAGCATCATTCCAGATCACAGACCTTTCTATAAATGATATACATTTCAAATGGTATGAATTACTACACTGAACACTACTAAAGACCTCTTAGAAAAAAAGCTGTCTAAATCAAAACATTTATCAGCTAAGAACTCAACGAAGAAGACAAACAACAATATGGAGAACTGACTTTTGGCAATAAGGCCAGAGCAAATACTTTTACTTTCAAGCAATAAGCTATCTTAACTCAAAATAATATTATTCTGATCTTCACATTTTCAATCTACTGGCTTACACTTTTCTCTCCAGGATCATTATTATAGACATTATTCATTTTTTAGGTGTAAGGAAATAAAAATGTTGGGAGAAAATCAACTTAGAGAACAAGTAACCCTTAAACATAGTATTCGAAAAATTTAAAGATAAGCCTAAAAGTTTAGTAATAAGGATCATTCAACTGAAAGAGAAATCATTAATAACATTTAGACCAATTCTAGAGCATATGTGTAAATGAACTGAATTACAAGCCTTTCAATAAATACTTGTATTTCAAGACTAAACACATTAAGTCAGCAACTAGAAGAATTCCATGAAGAATATTTGACATTTCGTTTAAAGGCAAGTAAAAATTTAAATAGGCCTCCGTAGACTGGAAAGCAAAGAAAAAGTGGCAATCAATAAGCAGCACCAACAAACTGAATCAAATGGATTACTGGAGCAGATATTACTGTGACAGATTAAAGAATGAGGGATAAAATGAACTTTCGGTTATATTCATTAATATAAGAAAGTAGTTTAACAGTTCATCCAAACCTTCCTTTGGCAGTAATTAATCCACTCTGACTCCATAACACTCTCTGGCTCTTACTCAAATAAGTATGTTTATATTTGGAGCATCTGAATGTGTATTCTATAAAAATGCAATTAAGAAGCTAGAAAATTTAAAACTTCTATATCCTGTCCTTTTACTCAACCACTTCTTCCTTCGGTGCTCTACTGAGACCAGACCACAATGAGATTATTGCTACCTATGAGGTTTTTGTAAAACACTGAGTACTAAGTAGAGCAATTCTCTCTCCCCAGTAAGTTCTTGGCAGCAAGGCAAGACGAGCAATATTTATATTTTAAAAGCCATCTTTTTTTTAATTGAAGTATAGCTGGTTTACAACATTGTGCTGATGTCAGGTGTACAGCAAAGTGACTCAGTTTTATATATATGTATATATATATTTCAGATTATTGTCCATAATAGTCTATTACAGATATTGAATATAGTTCCATGTGCTATACAGTAAATCCTTCTTGTAAAAGCCATTATTTTAAGCTAATATTCTGTTTTGGATTGCAAGAGAACAAGAAAAATATCAAGAATGATTTTTAAAAGTTTGCAGTGGGTATTTCAAAATTTTTATAATAAAACACAGGGGGGAATAGATGGGATTAAATCTATAATAAGTAATCTCCATGAAAATCACCAAAAGATGACTATCCTTATTAAGCAAAGCACTGATTTTACCTCCTACTTTAACACAGTTACCAGAAAAATCATGTTTCTTTTTTATGTAAGTTTCCCTTTCCAAATTTGCTTGAGTCATATTCAATAGGGTAAATCCTTTAAAGGCATCTGAAGCCTCAGGAAAACAGAACTTTTAAGGCTGGCCAGCAGAAATTTAGTTTAAAACGTTTGAACGTGTTCAACAACCGCCACCGTGGAGTTTGGGAACAGATCATACTGCGCCCCTGTGGATTTTCTCATACCACACTTACTCACATATGCCAAAAGAAAAAATTAGTAAGTAAATAAATAATGCTTACTAAGAGGAAACAAATATTTTTAAAAAGTAAAGAATGTTGTATTTTTCTGCTTATTTAAACAGGCAAACTAAAGTTTTAGAAGTACTACTGGTTTAACCCTGAAGAACGTTCGATCTATCAGATCTAAAGGAATACGTGCCCTGATGTTATCTGAGACTGAAGAACAGTGGTACACTCCTGGAGGCTTTATACCTAGGTATAATCATTTTGGAGAAACATCACAGAAATTTTAACCCTTTTAACCCCGTAACCCTACTCCTATGAATGAATAAAAAATAAGTAATTCAGGGTATAATAAAGATACAATCTGCTAAGATGCTCTTAACAAAATAATTGCAAGTCTAGCTTGGAGGCCAAGAAGAGACTCCCTCACGTACAGCCTCAAGACAGCTGTTCAGTGCTTTCTCGTCAAGGGACTGTGGCTTTCTCTTGATGCTATTAGATCAGGAAAGAAAATAAATATGATTTTAAGAGTGATAGTGCAGGAATAAAGGTCACTTAGGTAAAATTTTAGTAACTATTCGAGGTAACAGTAGTTATCAGTTATTACTTACTGCGCTAAAGTGTGCTATAGAGCAGCAGTACTGTAAGGTGTCCACTCAACATGCACTCTCCCCTTCTCCCACCAGGAATACTCCACCTCTGATCAGGGTGACAACTCGCCCAGCTCCGAATGTGACTTTTCAGACTCCCCTGCAACTAGAGAGGCCTAACCAACATGAGGTACGGGCTGAAGTTCCTAGGAAGGCTGTCTCACCAGCAAAAAAGCCAAGTCTCACTGGGAGAGAGAGACTTCTCTACTTGGTCCTTCCTCTCTTACTTTCTGCCCAGGAAGGGTATCTCGTGACTGTAAGACAAAATATTTAAGGACAAAGCCTATGATGAGCTAAGGGTGGCAGAGCAGAAACATGAGAAAAGCCCAGGCCCTGAAGGCATTACTGAACTGCTATACCAACTCTAGCCTGCCTCTGCTTGGTCTTACCACATTAGATTAAAAATCTCTAAGTCAGTGCTAGCCAGGTTTCTGTTTTAATTAACGTACTGCAAACTGATTTGCACTCAAAGGTCAGAATTTTCTGAAGCTGGTATTATATGCACTTTTACAGATGATAAAACTGGGACTCATAATGAACTCAGTTTACCTGGCCAGTGCTAGCAGGGGGCTGAGTAGGGAGTCAACACTGGGCTGCCAGGCTCCAAAGCCTCTGATAATAAACACGATGCTATAAATTGCCTCTGTTACAGCTACAGCAATTTACCCTGTCAGGATTCTGCATGAGGGAAGACTGAAAATAAAGGCTAAAAATAAGTGATAAAACAAGCTGACACAGTACGTGTAAGAAGTAATTTGTCTTCTGGGTAAGATGTAGTTGCATCCATGGGCTCAATGAGTCACTGTATACACTAGCCTCTCAACATTTCATGGACAAAGTTTATGGGAATTCTGACAGGACAGAACAATGTGGGATAGATACTGGAATGATGTAAGTAGATACACTGGAGATTTGTTGAAATGTATAGGATTATGATATAGCTATAAGGACCCACTGGCATGACTTCAAAATTACACTGCAATTTTCCCCCAAATTTTATCTCTCTAGTCAAGTAATTACTTTTCTAGAAAGTCTTACCTTTCAAAAAATTAAAAAATATTAAATTAAGAATTTAGGAAGTTGAAGATACACTGGGGTATCTCAAAATGAAGACTAAGAGTGACTCGTCCAGTTGATGGCACTGCTGATTCTGAGGACCACTGAGCCCTCCTTGGACAATATAAATGTCATTTTAAAAAAGTAATGACTGTGCTTTATAAAAATAATGTATGCTTATTACTTAAAAAATTCAAGGCATATAAAAGAATACAAAGAAGAAAGTAACAAATCATTCCCAAATCCTGGAAATAAAATGTAAACACCTCGTGAGCATCATTCAAAGCCTCTCTCTCTCTCTATATGTATATGTATATGTATATGTATATGTATATGTATATGTATATGTATATGTATGACAGATGAACTAGCAGAGGGAAAGAGAAATCAATTTAAGTAACAGTAAGGAAATATCATATATATGTGCTATCTTTAAATAAAAATGTGTAAGATTAATTTTAGTTTAAGCCAACATGAAACAAAACTAGAGGAAATGCTTCTCTATAAGAGATATCACATACTAAAATATATACACACACATATATATAAACATACAGATAAAAGCATTTTAAATAAGGAAAGATTAAAAATTTTAAGTAATAATTTTTAAAAAACCATGTTATTTCAGTTTTAAACAATATCAGTTAATCCCTTGCTACAAGAGATGTCCAGCTGGGTAGCACTATTAGTATTTTTTCCTTATTCCTCCCTCTTTGTTCTTTCATTTTTCACTAAGTCAGGGTTTCCAATGTTTACATTTTTTGTTCAGAAGCCATAATAAACCCACTAGGTTTAGGCTTAGTTCTACAAGGAAACAGTCTTTATATTTAAACAATCTTATCTTTCCGTATGTGTGTTTATATACACCTTGTGTGAATATGCATATAGATAAAGAATATGACTTAAAATCAAATAGTATATATCATTTCATAACCTGCTTTTTCACTTTGTGTACTATAAACATCTTTCCATGTCATACTGCATATTCTTCTACAATGTTATTTTTAAGGGTAAAAAATCACTTCTTCATTGAATTTAGTACAATTTAACAAATTCTATACTACTTGAACTATGTTCCTTTTTTTGTTATTATAAAGAAAACTGAGATAAACATACTTGAAGATGATTTTTACTCTCATCAGTAATTGTCTGTATAAAATAAATGCCAAAAGAATAAGTCAAATGTTAATGAACTTTTAGTTTTTAATATATGTTGTTATATTTACCTCCAACAAGGTATTCCTGTAATTCAGACCAACTAAAGCAAGTTCTTATTTCAAACCAGGGACCAGTTTTTAAGTTAGGCCAATGACAATTGTGTTAATCATTATAAACTGTATTTCTTTGACTACTATTAATACATTTTTTTTCATATATTTCTTTGGTAACTATACCTTGGTTATTCTGAACTACCTGCCTTTATTTTTTGTTCATTCTCTCATTTTTATGTTTTTCTCTTCACGTTAAAAGAACTTTAACCACTAATAAAAATAAGGGTTGCCATATATGTTGTAAATATTTCTTCCTTCTATAACTTTATTCTTTATAGTTTTAGCTCACTGTTTAAAATATAATACATTCCATATGAAAACCAATGTTAAATTTGAGGTCCGATGCTGTAATTATCTTTCATATGAAAAGTATCACTTAATAGTACTCTGGATTCTATTTTATTCTTTTAATTATGAAAATAAGACAGCTTGACTATAAATAAGACATTTTGCTTTGGGCCTGGTGAAATTCTTCTTAATGCTTTGTATGTGTGTGTGGATGTGTGCACGTGCGAAAATAAAGCCTTCATCTGTGATGTACTAAAATTTATAAATTCAGACTACCAAAAATATAAACATATGCTCAAGTCCATCAAAGTCTCATTTAAGGTTAGCATGTAACCGTTTCAAAAGAAAAATAAGAGCTTGTTTTATGAAACAGTCTTAAAGAGACAGAGCTGCAAAAAACATCCCATTAAATTCAAATAGTGGAAAAACTGTAGCGGGGGGAAAAGCATATAATCCCATTAATAAAATATAAATTAGATTTGTTTATTCACCGCCTAAAGTTCACATCTCACTAAACCTTTCTCCGTTATTTCATGCAAAATAAAAGACAAATAATCCACCTGATCCAATAATAAAACTTTCAATGAGAAGTATATTATTTTAAAACCTCACCTACTTCTAAAAATATTCTTTGAATTTTTCTAAGTCCCTTCTTCAAACTACTAGTAGGAATATCATTGTCATTGGGAAACAAAACCTGGTTAATATAACTGCTTTAGAAATGACAAACAAAAGGACTTCCAAGGAGAAAGCATGAGAAAAGTTAAATCTTGCATAGGTAAAGGCACATAAGCACCTTCTTCTCAGCCAAGTGACCTAGTGACAGCTGGAGAACAATGCTTAGGGACAAGGAGAGTAAGGCTTCAAAAAAAACAAGATTCTGAACCTTTAGAAGAAGTCTGTGTAACTTAAAATGAACAAAGCACATAGTTTCTTAATCACTACAAATAAGCAATTTTCAAGGTTTAAAAATGTCATGAGTGTTTAAGAACAATTTCTAGTTCAAGCTAAGAGAGAGCCAAACACACACAAGGAAACCTACCCAATAAAAGTGTACACTAAAATAAAGCATTTCTAAAGCTATGTCAACACAGGGGATTTCAAAAGACTTGAGAGTATTTTCACAAATTCTGGAGTCAAGATTATTTCCATACTGATCATTAAGAGGGCCAGAAAGATAAAAGGGGGATATGAGCTTTCTACATAAACTTAAGACTGTAACACTGACTTTCTGTGAGTGTCGCTAAAACATTCTTAAAAACAGTTCATTAATAATATTTCATTCAGGGAATAAAATAATTTTGATAAATATATAACAAACATTCAAGTTCATATTAGTTTCCAGAAATGAGTAGTTCAGGGCTAAAATACAGTCTAGTAATTTATTAAATAGCGGTAGTAATAAGGTTCTGATCTATTATGCAAAACTGGGATTGACTGATATCAAGTATCCTTGACGTATAAGAGTTTTGAGAAAAAAAGGACTATAAATTGAGCTTAGGCAGCCTCAGTATTTTTTTTGTTTTTGGAAGGGACGTATTTCTGACTCATTTCTGAATCTAAAGTGGCTAAACTTTTTTATTTGGTGGGTTCAATAATTTGGCCACAAGAACTCAACAACTTTTTCTCAAATCTACCATATTCTATGCTCCATATCACTGAGTAAAACTTTCATCACTGAAATGCTTCCCAAAAAATTTAGTTCTGAAAATGGTAAGAGATTTTTAATAAACAATGAGAATAAGAAAAGAAAGCAAATTGTTTTCATCTACAATTAGAAATCATGTTTGGGTGAGGAATATATGAATTTCCACCACAAAATGATAAACCTGAAATACAAATGTTATTCTATAAAATGGGGTACAAGAGGAATGGTAACGAAAATCTCAGTAAAAGAATGACTGAAAATTTACCAGAAAACAACAAATTACCCTACCTGTGTCTGAATCTCGATCTTCATTTCTTGATGGGCTGATGGTAAAAGGAAGTTTACGCTTCATGGACGATTTCTCTTTCATCTCCTTGCCCACATCACTTCGATCAATTTTTGGAGTTTTGCTATAGGATGCAATCTTGTCTTTACTCTATTAAAAAATCAAATATGAATAAAGTTATAACAATATTAGCCAAGCCATACGGTATGAAAAATACTTCATGAAGGAAATTTTCAAATGTACACAAAAGCAGAAAGGGTATTTTATTACAAACCGTCATTGTCCTCAATGTCCTCAAGACCCACTTTCAACAACTATAACATTTTTTTCTAACTTGTTTCATATTCCCTTTTACTTAACAATTTTAAAATAACAATAAAACAAAGTATCTTTAATATACCAGAAATCTATGTCTAAGTATAAGACAGACATCACCAGTGAACAAAGATTTAAATCTGAAAAAGCAATTCTGGATTTAATCAATAAGCAGATTGCATTTTATTAACACCACGTGCCCACTCATGTGACAACGTATCCTACCCTCACGGTCTACAGTAATTACTAATTCACTCTTAGAATCCAGCACCCAAATCGGTACAGCATATTTAATCGAGCTATGATAACCCTTTGGAAAAACATGCTAGATACTAAGAACTAAGCAACAGAACCTTAGCTGTTGAGTTTAAGAACTGTGATAATAAATGACAGATACCATAATTATAGAGATTTTTTCAGAAGCAAACTAGAAGTAGACTCAGACTGCAGAAGATACTAAGCTTTTGATCCAGGACAGAAAGTAAATAAAAGGAAGGAAGAGTGGGGAGGAGCATTAAAAATACTGAATTTTTTTTTTAAGTAGAATTTATCAACCAAAAGGTGACTCAAAACGCGCAATGGAATTCAACTTTTAGTGAGTCTTATCACGAAGATGTGAGAGAAGAGGAAAAAAACAAGAAAAAAAAAGACTGGGATTGAGACTTAAATACAATTCCAGAGGGATATTAAAAAAACAGCCAAAAAATTTTTAAAAGTTACTAAAGAATACTGTATTCATTTTTAGACCATTAATAACATAAGGCCTGGAAAATGGATTATTTTCTTGGAAAACATGCATTAGTAAACACTGGTCATGAAAAAATAGAAAACCGAACAGATCACTGATCACAGAAGACAATAAACGCGATAGCCATAGATACTATGTTTAAAAAGGTACCTATTCCAGAAGATTTTACAAGAGATTTTTAATAAAAAATTCAGGGAACAGATATTTCCCATTTCATATAAACAATACTAAAACATAAAAATAAGATTAGAAGCTACTCAATCCATTTTACAAGTGCAAAATAAAACAAATACCAAAGAGTACACGTAAATTCCTTATGAAGTAAGTGCAAAAATAAACTTCAATCAAATATAGTGTCTTAGAAAGATAATACATCATAACCAAGCAGGGTTCACCCAAAGAATATAAAAATAGTTCATTATTAGAAAATCTCTTACAACAATTCACTGTATCAAAGGACTAAGGAAAAATCATATGATGATCTTAATAGGTTGACAATAACAACTGAATCGATCTACATTCATTCTTGATAAATCTATTAGCAAATTAGGAAGAGAACATGATTTCCATATATCTTAACTGGTACAGATTACTGAAGAATAAAAGCCTCATATAATTTATTTCCTAGTTAAAAATGAAAATCTTTGTTTTTTCAGTTTTGCTAATAAAATGGAGCTTAACTGGCATGGCTTTTGCTTATAAGGTTGTTGTAAAATGTAGATTTTATTATTCTGGAATGGTGAGGCCAACAGATCAGAGACCACTGCCACTGAAGACAGTCTGTCATTCAAGAGTTCCAAAGAAGAGGGGGCAATGCCACACGGGGAAGCACCGTGCAGGGTCAGGAGGCAGAGGGAGAAGAAGGAAGTATGAACAAAAGCTTACAGTGTGGTTTTCACAGGAAGAAAAAGGCAAGGCAGAGTAAGCAGGTTTAGGATTGGCTAGTTTGAACAATTTCAGCAGGCTCTGGGGTTAGGTGTTGTTTTTCCAGTTGTCTGGTAACTGGCTCTGAGACGATTATTAGAGCAGTGGGACAGTGGCCCAGAGTGTGAGAGCTGGATAAGATGGACTCCAGAGAGGCCTGTTTGCATATGAAAGGTGCAGCACCAAGTGAGTTGTTCACTATCTCTGAGAACTGACTAGTCCTGGGAAGGGCAGTCTCCCCAGGGTCAGCAAGGCCCCAGATGTCGAAGCATCAGAAATAAAAAGGCATGATTAATAAAAAGGTTAACCAACAAGGTTCTAGAGATTTGCCTTAGAAATATGAGTCTTTGTTATTAACAAAAGAATCTAATAAAAACATAAAGATGTCCCTTCTGCCTTGCACCTGCGTACATAAAGATACTGTTCTGGGCCATAAAAGAAATCAACTTGAGAATATGTTAAGTGAAAAATGTTCACAAGAATATATTCATCATGCTCTCCTGTGCAATATCGAATATGGTGATCAGTGTGAGCATCCATACCCACTACCAACTTACTCTGTTCTCTAAAATAAAATTATCCTTGAAAGTGCTACCTGAACAAAGTGTTTTTGTTGAGATTTTTACCACTTTAAAAATTATTTTCAGATCCAGAGAAAGTAACTTTCAAAGGAAATACTTACTTGTGGTTGTCTGGAAATTTCTGTATTATCAAATGGTACAAATATTCTGACAATTCAGGAATCACTGGCACATTCTTCTTTCATATCTATGACATAATATGCCTAACACAGTCACACTTTTTAATTTTGAAGTACTTTGTCTTTTTCACTTATATTAATGTTCTTCTTTCAATGGCAAGACAAGAATGACCTCCTATCACTGCTGGTATCAAATGATGTGCTAGTGGCCTTTACCAACTCAGCAAGATAGAAAAATGAAGAGGTAAAAAATTACCTAGAAAAAAAGAAAATTTAAAAAAACACATACAACTCTAGAGGGATATAAAACAAACGTTGCTGGCTGTCTGCGGCAACGGCATTACCAGTGTTGGGAGACAACGCTGCGTGGCTCCCCTGCCATTTCCACATGTCCTGCAAGCAAATGCTCTAAATCCTTTTACTCTGGACTGTCTTTTCAAGGATATCTGTACAGAGAACAGCCTTGGAAGATACAGATAGTGTCTCCCTCTGGAGCAGAGGGAGATCAGATCTGTTTTGTTTTTTATAATAAATAATTTCTCCCGTTAGGGCAAAGGTCAGGTAGACTTATCACCCATTATAAAAGATTTGGGGTTCCTTTCCTGTAACACAAGCTGCTGTATATGTAGTTGTCACTTGGCCCTCTTTGGGACCCTCTGTGAGAAACAGAGCTCAGAGAACAGGCACAGGCACAAATGCTGATGTATGGTTACTGCTGTTGCTATGACAAAACTTTCCTTTATCTGACTCAGGAGTCTCATGTCTTCTGCCAGAATCCATGAAACTAATTAGCGTGCAAGTAGGGTAGGGTAAAAGCTCAGAGCCTTCGTGGTTTTTGGTGAGGCAATTTCTTTTTTCATTATTCTTATATATGTTTTCTAATTTTTCTACAATGAACATGTATCATATTACTTGAATAATAAAAGAAAATTTCTTGATTATCATGTGGAGAGAAGCTAATGAAGGTCTGAACTATACTGATGATGAAAAGGACAGGACACAGCTATTTAGAAAGATAAGCAACATCCACTCTCATAGTTTATGAGTTTAACCCAGATTTTACATTATCAGAAGAGGTTTTATAAGATTTTGTTTCACAAATTATGAATACTAATTCATAGCTAAAAACTTCAGTGGAAAGAATTTCAAACTAAAACCAATAGGTAAAACCCCCACAGATTAGCAGTGAAAAGACAAATATTTGAAGAATTTTGAGCAGACATTTTTGATGAACGCTGACCACTATAGTATTTAATGAGGTAATGAAAGCACTTTATATAAAAAGTATATTGCTATAGCATGTAATTATTATTTAAAACTATGGTCTATTTAAATGCATTTAAGAAACTAAATTTTGGTTCAGCTTAACTTATTAATTTAAAATCTCATAACAGCAATGTCTGTATCACATTAAACTGTAAATAAGGTCTCTATTTACATAACAGAACTATATATTCATTTCTAAAAATTTTATGGAAGAAAAAACTCAGCAGAAGCTAGAGGCTGGCTTCAAGGCCAAACACTCACTAAGAAAAGAGAATCCTAAAAATATACTTTGCAAATAAATGAGTAAAAGTCATGCTACCTTCTCTCCTACTGTCCCTTCTAACCATATTTTGTCATAAGAAGCAGTAATAACATGGTCTATAAGCAGGAAATTTGGAATGGAAATTATGGTCCTCTTTAAGGTGCAAGTAAGCAGTCAAAAAATCTATTTAAAACTGAAGAAAATTATTTCTAACAACAGCTTCTGATGGTAAGCTGCTCGGAAACCCCAAAGCATGTCAGGAAGCACCATGCGTGTTGCCTGGGAAGAGCTTCTGACTCTTATCCAAACAAACGTACAGTCTTGAAAAATTACTGAATGATTAAGTGAGACTGAGAACAGTTGAATATATCCTTTTACATAGGCCAAATGTTAATAAATGAGGAATTTAATAGTTTGCATTTATTCTTCGTGTTTATTTTATTTATCTAATGATTAATAAGTATTCTTAACTTTCCTAAGCAATGTTTTTAATAGAAATACAGTAGTAAAAAGTTTGCTTTTTGCTTGCCTGTACACTTGAAAGAAATCACATTTTTATGATGGCAATGCTCAGGACTACTGTATACTTAGTGACAATTTTCAAAAATATACAAAGTACCTAGGAAGAATAAAAGCTTCAACAACCTTAGCCTTGTAAATTCAAATCCAAAAAACTGACATCAAGTAGCTCAGATGTAATTTCACAAATGCAACCTTCACTACATTTAAACATTTAGAAATAAACATTTTAATTCTTTCCTCAAATCTAACAACATTGTATTCTAACAACTCTACTGAATTGACCTTTATCGAGGTTACTGTAAGGAGTCTCACTGGATAAAATCCAATGGCCCCGTCTTCCCTATTAGCTTCTGGGGTGTCTGGCAACAGACACCCACTCTGACTTCTCTGGGTAACTTCTCCGGCTTCTCTCT